GTTGAATTTCATTTAGATGGAAAGCATGAACAACCTCTCATGTTTGATGTATGGAAAATCAGAGGTGTCCAGTTACAGGGCATTTTTCTACTTGTTCAACCAATAGACAAATGCCCAGCAGCTGGACATTGTTTTTCTGTACATTACGTATAAATGAACATATCTGACCCAAAACCTTTATATAAAAGTTTTTAAAATTAGAACATTTTAGCTGTATAAAGATGACACTATTAAAAAAAAAAGGCATCCTAGAAAAGATTAGCCTTTTAAATGTTCACTTTAACCATGTATTTTGTTTAAATTCCTAATACTTGTGTAACAAGGGAGTAAACTAGTTTGTGTGTGTGTCCCTCTGTCCAAGGATTCAATCCTGTATTAAGATATGACTGTTTTCTAAACTCCATAAGTGTGAAAGATCCTTGCAGTATCCCTACATCTCCTGTTTGAATATTCACTGGTTTCATTTATTCTTATTCCAAGGGACCCTTGCAATGCACTGTAGATTTTTGCTTTCACTGGTCTTGACTATGTCTGCTTCTACTACAATGTTGTTCAGCTTCACTGCTATTATAAGGGCAAAGGCAAATTGTATCTTATCTCTGCCTTTTTTATGTTCCAGCCTGCATGGTGGTTTTAAATAGAAAAAGTTCTAACTTTGAGACAGGACTAGTTATTTCCTAAACAGCTATAAGATATGTGGAAACTAGATCTCTTGTGCCTATTATGGGTATACTGCATCTCAGTAACATTACTAATGTTCAGAATGTAAGTGGCTTCCTTCTTAAAGAATTAAGACTACCACTGAGTGTAGTTTATTGGTGAATTTTAATGGAGTACCTTGAGAAGGGTATGCTCCTGTCAGATTGACCATGTCTTTATCTCTGCTTAAGGGGCTCTTTTTGCAACAAAGAGAGGGAGACAAATAGCTATCAATGTCATGCCATGTTCTGGGCTCAGTTAGCGTTGTCAGTATGCAAAAGATTAACACACATGACTTGATTCTCTTACAAAACCACTCACAATACAAAAATGTTCATGTAATTTTCCATGAATTTATCATTATAAGTAGTAAAAGCAGCTGTTGTGAATTAATTATTTCATTTTTTCAGTTTAAAATTGTGAAGACCTCAATTTTTAACATACTCCATAAACTACAGGTATGGCTCACTGAAAGTAATTTTGAAACACCGATTTAAGTTGTTAAAAGCCATTCAGGCTATTTTAAAATATTTTGATTTTTATTTGCTGGAATTTAAAAACTTTGCACAAGAAACAACATTAAAGTGAAAGTTTACAGTTAGTATTTTTACAGGTTTTGTTTTTTTTAAATTGCATTCCTAAGTACGTAAAAAGGCTTGGATTTTATATGAAGGGGAAGTAGAATTCTGCAGAAGAAAAGTAGTCTCTGAAATATCTGTGGGCATTTTCGAAGTAGTGAACACCATTTAACGTACATAGAATAGTGTCTGTCTAAGAATGAAAACTTTTATTTTCCATAATCTTAGCTTCATGGCAACGTGAAATATTTTGTATGTGATACACTTCCTGACTGCACAGTGGCATTTTTGCCCCTCAAAATTTAAGTATTTAAAACTACTGACTTATTAAAGCTATTCCTGTTTGAGGTGTGATTTTTTTTTCTTTTTTTCCTTTTTACATACACCTCTACCCCGATATAACGCTGTCCTCGGGAGCCAAAAAATCTTACCACGTTATAGGTGAAACTGCGTTATATCGAACTTACTTTCATCCACCGGAGTGTGCAGTCCCGTCCCCTCGGAGCGCTGCTTTACTGCGTTATATCCAAATTCGTGTTACATCGGGTTGCATTATATTGGGGTAGAGGTGTACTTGTTAATCTTCTTTATAGTGAAATCTAATTCCTGATTAGTGATCAATGTTCATCTTTAGAGGAGTAAGATGAAATGATGTTTTCTCGATAATTCAGAGAACAATTGATTGTTGTTGCTAAATGAAGCATCTACATTTGGTCTGTTAACGATCATTATAAGGAAAATGTGTTCTGATTGGGCCCTGAAGGTGTTCGTTTCTTGTGTTCAGACACCATGCTGTGGCATGTTGTGTTGGACGTTTACCAAGCACTTGTTGGTGAAAGTTTTTGACCATTTATGTTTAGAGTTTACTTCCCTGAGAAGCAGTGTTCTCTCTCTCTCTCTCTCTCTCTTTTATTTATTTATATATATTATATATAAATAAATAAAAACACAGTTTCAGTTAACCGTCTCAGTTTCATATGATTTGATTGCAGCTTTCTTTTTTCCATTCACGATGACATGTAAAAAGAAAAGTGAAATTTAAGCTAGGTAGTCATAATTTTTACCCATGTTATCGGTAGCTTTAGGAAGTTTTTTTACTGTGAAATATTTAGTTTATATAATATTACATACAAAAATACATTGAAAGAACATTATTAAGGTTATAAAGTGAAAGCACTCAGAAGTTAGGAAATGCCAGAATTAATGCTGTCTGTGCCACAGAGCTCCTATGTGGTGCTAAGCAAGTCACTTGTTCAAAGTAAAAGTCCTCTAGAATTTTTTAACAAGGGCAAAACAATGTATTTTCCCCTAGCCTCATTCTCAGAAATGGCTGAACCATTTTGGCTAAAATAAAATTTTAAAAAATCTCTTTCCTAGGCCTTGCCTAAATGAGAATAAAATTGATGTGTTTATTTATTGGTTTTATTTGTTCCCCCTCTCCTGTTTTTAAGTGCAATATAATTCAGATTTGTAGAGCCCTGCGTGGATACACTGTGTAGCCACATCTGATCCACAGTCAAAAATTATCTGTGGATTTGCAGGGCTCTACACTGGGGGCCGGGCTGAGGCTCCAAGGCATCCCTCCTGCCGGAGCCCGGTCGGAGAGAGCCACATGAGTAGCCGTGGGAAGCCCGCATGGAGTCGTGGACCCTTCACCTGCCCTCTGATAGTTGGGGAGCCTGGGGGACAGGGACACGGCTGGGGACTGCTCTCAGTCCCTCCCCCTGCACCGTGGGCAGGTGGAGGGTCCGCCACAGCTCCCGAAGTGGACTACATGCTGGCCTGGGAGGGGGAGTCCTGTGGAGCTGCCTGGGGGCTGCTCAGGCCCCCCACCCAGGGCAGGTGGATGGTCTGCTGCGGCTCCCCACAGCTGCCCTCCTGGCTCTTATTGTGGCCAGGCTGTGGCTCTGAGCTGCCTCCCTCCTCAGCCAGAGCTGTGCTGGCAGCTGTGAGATGCCACTCTGGACCCTCCATCTACCCTGGGTGGGGGCCCTGAGCAGCCCCCTGCCAAATGTCCCAGCCTCCCAGCCCCCCCACCCAGTATCCCTGCCCCCCAAGCTCACCACCCAGGGCTGGTAGAGAGACCCAGGGTCCCCACACCTGCCAGCACGGTTCTCCTGGACCCAGCTCTAGCCAAGGGGCGGCTCTGAGCTGCAGCCTGGCCATGGTAAGAGTCAGGCGTGCAACTGTGCGGAGCCGCGGCAGACCCGCCACCTGTCCCAGGCAGGGAGCCCGAGCAGCTTCCGGTCCGTGTCCCTGCCCCTCTGTCCGCCCCCTAGCCTCTCTGCCCAGGACAGGTGGAGGGACCCAGGCTCTTCACAGCTGTCTGCGCGGCTCTCCCTGACCCAGCTCCAGCTGGGGGTGGGGTATGTGTGGACCCTCCACCTGCCCTGGGTGTGGGGCCCAAGCAGCCCCTTCTCCCCCGCCCAGTGTCCCTACCCCTCCCAACTCCCCCCGCAGATATAAAGCGGATACCTGCGGGTTTGCAGGGTTCTACAGATTTGACTGGAGATGTTGAGAGAACACTGTTCTCAAAGACAAAACTATATACCCAGGGGGAAGAGTAGCAAATGGGGGAGTACACCAACCTGGTTTGTCACTGTCACCAAAAGGGGAGTGGGTGGGAGGGGCTTAAACAGTGGACCAGAGAATGGTGAGCCACAGTTGATAAATTTATATATTTTTTAAACTAGGCGTGTAACATACTATTCTATTTTCATCTTTCATTGTGCTCTCTCACCAAAGCTAATTACACCAAATCATAAAATCTTATCTGTTGGAGATCTTCGTTAAGGTGATTTTTTTTTCCTTTTGTAACAATAGTAACTTATTGGAAATTGCACTAGTGTAGTTATCTCTGTTAAACAAAATTGAGAAGCTAAGCAGTTATTTAACATTTTGTATTGTTACTTTTAAAAATACCGTAGTATTTATTTAAACAGAATAAATCTTAGCACACTGAGATAAACTGAAATGCATCTAGTCCTGAAACTTGTATAAGAAATATAGTTGCAGTTGTCCTGGAGCAAAAGAGTTAATGTGTATTTTATCATTCTTTCCTTTTTAAATAACATGCTTGGTTTAGAACAGATCTTTGTAGTCTAGACCCGAGTCTTCAATGGGAGCTTTGCAGGCTGAAGGCTTTTAGAATCGGCCCTTGTTATGTAATCTAAGCGTTGTTTCTGTTGCAGCCTTTGGATATTCCTGATGGTCGAAGAGCACCCTTGCCTGCTCATTATCGTAGCAGTAGCACGCGTAGCATTGATACACAGACTCCCTCTGTCCAAGAGCGCAGCAGCAGCTGCAGCAGCCACTCACCATGTGTGTCTCCCTTTTGCCCTCCGGAATCTCAGGATGGGAGTCCTTGCTCAACAGAAGATTTGCTATATGACCGTGATAAAGGTGAGAGTTGAACAGTCCATTTGAGCATGTGGGCACTGGGAGAGCATGTGGTATCCTGCAGTTACTACTACCTTCATTTTACTCATTACATCAATTTTTTTATGTTTTGTTTGGTTGTTGTAGTGGGATTCCAGAGGAGGATTCATCTTAAAATTGGTTTTGTTTGTGTACATATGTTTTCCCCTCTTGTTTGTGAAATTTCACAAACATCTTCCATAAATATGTCAGAGGAGCACAGCAGAGTCATAAGTACATATGAAGGGTATAGCATAAAGAATGCAGAAAGCAACATGTATATGTTCAAAAAAGTGTTTCATAAAGGAGTATGTAGAATTTGGATTCATCATATGAATGGGTTACTTGCTGATCAAAATAGTGAATCTGACTGTTTATGAACCTTGTTCAAAATAGGATTTTGCATTTTTCTAACATTACATTTGTAACTAAACTACTGCTTCTCACTGGAAATAGTTGGAGCTTGCTGATGAAGAACTGAATTTGTATTTGGCTGCATTGCATAACCAAACAGGATTTCTGAATGACTTCTTAGTTAAATTTTACATTAAAACCATTGTCAATATCTTTCACTTTTCTCCGTGGAGGTTGTAAATGGCAATGGAACTTGGTCGGGTTCCAGTATTTGAAAGAGTTAACAGATAAATTATGTAGTACACAAAGATGTAAGTAGCAATACTGTACACTGTAGTATCATTAGCCTTCGTAGTAGTAGTAGCAGCACACATGCTGGAGAGAAAATGTCTTGTGTGAATGGAGATTCCCAGCATTCATAAACTTAATTTCCAGTACCTACAGAGTGACAGAATAGTTGTTTAGTTTCAGTTAAATATCTAATTTCTTTTGTGACTGGTCAGTTTCATTTGTTGGTTTTTGTTCCCCAGGTTATGCTTTTAGTAGTTTGTCTTTTGTTTCCTGATCACCTACTACTTCTACAGATCGGAATTTTGCTCAGAGTATGAGTTGGCTCATTAAACAGGAGATCTGTTACATATGTGGTACCATTGTTCTGTCAATTTTAAAATATTTCTGTAAACCTGAGTAAAAATTGTAAAATGCCCCTATTTGACTGACCAAAGAGACTGATTGATTGTTTGATCAGGAATTTTAATTTAGAGATAGCGTGTTCTTGATGTATTATTTCAATAGCTATGAATTGTCTAGGAAAGTGTCCAAAGTATTGTGGTGTTGCTCCTTTTCAGTCCGTTCTTGCTATAGATTTAAAATAAAAAACTAAACTTATTTCAGTTAGCTATAAGTAAGAATTGTTAACTCAAGAAAATGTCAGTTTGAGAACAGAGTTTCCTATACAGCATTAACAAATTTAGGCTTCTATCTAAACATTGATTTTTATTGAGATAACTAACATGTTTACAGTTAAGCACATGCATAAATGTTTGTAGAATTACTAAAAATGTCTAAATTGCCCTGATGTGTATGTGTTTGGAAGAATCATCAACTAGCCTAGTATCTTTAGCATCAGGACTGTGTCACAAGAGCCCTCTGTTTAGGAGCAACTTTGGGTGTTACTCCTGGGATGAAGTTTTAACATTTTCACAAATCTGATATGTGTATTTTGGGCAATAATGTTTGCTAGCTGAATGGCTCAATGGCTTCTGGGTGACTAATCAAAGTCTAAATGGGCTAAAGAGACAGACTCCATTTTGGTGCGAGGACAATGTGCATCTGTGAAAGGGTCAGGCAATGGATTCCACAGAGATAATTTGTATAAGGTTTCTGAATGTCTTAAGTAAAAACTCGTTTTCTTTTTGTAACTAAGATTTTTGGAATCAATTCACAAGTGTGCTAAGTACAGGACGATGCTGGGTGGTGCATTAAGGTTTTACACTCTTTCCGGTGTATATTCTCTGCTTATTTTTTGTTAATACACCTTTTAGTATTATATAATCTGGATAGAATAAGATTGTCTTTTTATGGGGAATACTGACTGTTCTTGATCCTGAAGAATGTTACTTGTCTGTCTTTAATTCAGGAAGAAGGGAATTAATTATAGAACTGTTTATCATCTAGAAAAGATCAGACTCACATAAAAAGTCTTGGTACAATGTAGGAGTTGGCCTGGCTCCAAAATCAGCAGAGACCGGGAGGGCAAAAATAGATAAACTGCCCATTAGTGAAAAGGGTTATCTGCAAGTTCTGTGTTGCTTTGTCCAGGTCAAATCACTAAATAGACTGCCACCATCAAAAACATTCACAGTTTAAAAAAATTAGTCAACTCACAGGTATGTTTGTTCAAATGTATTTCCTCAAAACACATACACTAACCACCTCCTACCCCCCGCCAAAAAAAAAGAGATTCAATTTGTAGTTAGGAATGCACAAATCTAAACTTTTCAACAAATGAAATGAGTATTAACATTCTAAAGGAAAATCTTTTATTTGTGTGGAAGTATAATACAATGAGTGGGTTTTTAAAAAAAATATTTTTAAGAATTTGGGCTTTCAAGATTTTTTTTTTTTTTAACATTCTATATCTTGGATATCTCCTGGTTAGAAAATGAAGACTAGAACTGAAGTATTTTGTTTCAAATTTGAATTGCTTATCACGTGTCAGGTCTTCTATTTTTTAGGAAGTTGACAGTTACTTATTTGGACTTAGTTTTGCTACTGAGCTTCAAAAGTAGCAGTGGCATTTGCTCTGTCCATGGATCTTAGGACTGGCTGTAATACTAGGTTTTTACTGATTGACAGCCTTAGTGTATATGCATATAGCATTGGCGACAAACATGCTAGTTTGTAAAGTTATACAGTCAGTAATATCTGCATGCCTGGTATAATAAAAATATGACAAAATAGCTTAATTATCACTATGAAAATACTAAGACAAAGGTTTTATATTTAATTAATACGCAAATTAAGCTTGCTCTGTTTCCCACACTCTACTTTTGACATTATGATGTGAGGACATGTAAACAAGAAAAACAGCTGTAGCATGTGTTGGGAAACCTAAGCAATTGGTGCTGATTTAGAAGTGATACTGTAGCCAGAAATAGGCCTTTGCCCTCAGTTCAGTATAGTAGGGTGGGAATAGGACTGGTTCAGGAAGGAAGGGATATCTGTTTTGGATAGAAGCATCAGACTAAATGGATTAAAATTAGCTGCTTCTTTCCCCTTCCCCCGTGCCCCCCCACCAAAAAAGTTCAATCACAGCACAACCAAGGCCATGGTTATTTTTAGTAAATTTATAACCAGTTTCTGTAGATGTAGTTTAGTAACTCTGTGGCATTGCTAATGAACAGCATTAATTGTTGGCGCTAGAAAAATGGATGCAGTGACTTTCACAATTTCAGATTCAAGGGTTCTTACGTGATATTAAAATTCAACTGTCAGATGAACAACATACCGTTTGTCCTTCTTTGCAGTCAGACATTTTAAGGCTTGAAAAGCTTACTAGTACATGCAAACAAAATGTAGGTATTTTAAATGCCAGATGATGTATTCTATTTCTTCCCTGATTTGGGCCTCGTTTTCCCTTCAAGTTAAAAAACTTGTTTTGATTTACTATTGAAAAATATAATTAACAGCATTAAACTGCTCCCGAATGTTTTTCTGAATAGAAAATGAAAGTTAATAGTTAATCGAGCCACATGAGCAGTAAGGGGAGCCAACCCACTGTCCAGACACAGCACTGCTTTACATTTCTAAAGCATCTTTTCTTTCTTGTGTAAAGCTGTGCTTTGGCCACAGGCCCTCATTTGCTGCTCTTTGAACCAGATCAGCTGTTTAGATTACATTTCTATAAGGAGCTACTTAATCTAATGAATTTTTCAATAGAAAATGAAAGTAAACTCTGGTGAGGGGAACCATAACAGTTTCTGCAATGGGAGAGTGATTCTAAACAGCATTGGTGAGAGCATGTGAGGAGAAAATTTAATGGCAACTGTTTTAAAAATTGGTTAGCCTATTGTATGGTAATAGGCATCATCAATGCATTAAGGCTACCAACTCTACAAAGTTTGCATTATTGGGATGCAGATCTGAGACACTGGTGTGACCCTAGTGCACATAGGATTGACTTTTGAGATCCTGTCTTCTGGAGGAATATTTGAGCTCTCTAAACCTATCCTGTTAAAATTGTAATCTAGAATCTGGTTTCTCATTGGGGAGTCAACCGGTTAAAGTATTTTTTTTATACACAGATTACCTCCATAGTGGTCCCTTGCCTAGCAATCTAGCATAGTAACTCTTAAGTTGCTAAATACTTGATATGCTGCAGTTCCTCTAGAACAGGGGTAGGCAACCTATGGCAGGTGTGCCGAAAGCGGCACGCGAGCTGATATTCAGTGGCACTCACACTGCCCAGGTCCTGGCCACCAGTCCGGGGGGCTCTGCATTTTAATTTAATTTTAAATTAAGCTTCTTAAACATTTTACATACCTTATTTACTTTACATACAACAATAGTTTAGTTATATATTATAGACTTATAGAAAGAGACCTTCTAAAAACATTAAAATGTATTATTGGCACACACAACCTTAAATCAGAGTGAATAAATGAAGACTCGGTACACCACTTCTGAAAGGTTGCTGACCCCTGCTCTAGAACTTGTTTTAGCAACATTTGTGTTTCGGAGAAGAGCAATATTGAGGTAATTCTAGTCTCATGGACAGAGGAAAAGAAAAGATAATGATGAGTACACAGGGAAGAAAGTAGGACAGGATAATTTTATACTTTGGGCAGGAGGTAAATTAGACAAAAACAATCCTAATGTATAACCAGCCTGCTTTAAAATATATTTTATATAGGGGAAAATACCTTTACAATGTATAACCTTTTCTTGAATGATTTAGTAATAAGTATTCACTTTTAAGTACTACTTGGAAGCTGCAGAATGGTGCTGTAAACTGGGTGCCCCAAGCAACATGCGGATAGAGGTGCCATCTTTTCAGTGAAATTTACTAAAAGTCCCATTGCATTTTCACAAAGACTTAATGTCCTGGCTAAATTCCAGTTTGAGTAACTATATTCTGTCTACCAGGATTGTATAGTCTACACCCAAAGTTTCAATTTTATATAGTATTCTGATAAACCTCCTGGGCTAAATGTTTTAGTGTTCTGTACACTATTACTTAGTTTGTATATTCCATCCCAATATTAGCTGCACTTCTGTGATGGCTGTTCAAAGGACTCCTTTATATATGGAGCTGTATCCTGCAATCCTGTCTTGGCCAAAACTCCCATTTAATTCTCTTTTAGTGGGAGATTTGGCTAAATAAGGACTGCAGGGTCTGGCTCATGGTTTGTAAAGGTTTTATAAAGTGCATGGAGAGACTACAAACAGGCACTTTTCTGTATAAATAAAGAATACCATTTGTTTTTTAATTGGACAGGCTTTTTTAACCTATCAAAACAAAAAGTAATCCTGAGTGTCATTAGCAGAGTTTCTATTTTCCTTTTTTTGTTTGTTTTCCAGTTGTCCATCTGCCACTCAATATTAGTAGTTAAACTTTGCCGGTTACCTCTTACATCTGTCCCTTTTGTGTAAGTACTGTCACAGGACGGTATTCTCATTGTTGAAACATATCTAGAGATTAAAAAACATTTTGTTACATATTTAATCTGTGTGTGTTTATTAGTGAAAATAATCATATTGTTTAATAGTTGGTTAAATCATAAACATTTTCTAAAACATAAGCATAAAACTGCATATAAAATGTCTAAATTTTAAGTTTACAGTTGTATAACTTGGAACTCCTGCCAGACAAAACTGTTTGCCAAGGCAATCTTCATTGTAGTAATAGTGAAAAAACTGAATTTAAGTGTTACATCTTGACTGTTTCCTATTAATCTTTTATTACTGCCCCCTTAATGAAATGTGATTCATTCATTTACTAAAATTGTAGGCTTTTAACTGCCAACACTGCAGATTCAGCCCAATACATGAAAAAATTAAGCAGTGTTCACCATTCCTCATGTAACTTCATCAGCAATAAGTCTTCTGGTACTGGAAATGTAACTGACAATGTTGTTGATACTGTTCCAAGGAGAGCAGAATTGAGCTTGCTCTTCTGTGGCATTGTTGGCTTTGCAGCACTGACAATATTAAAAACTTGTGTCGATAAACTAAGCATATGTTACTCAAAACGGGAAAGATACAAAGATACATCTGAACCATATTTTGCAGCAGCAAAATCAGTGTTGACAACTAACAGTCCTGTGAAAAATGGAGGGGAAATATGATTTTAAACTTTCAGTCACCATGCAAGCTATTTAGTGGTATTTAAAAAACATTTTAGAAATTTCAAAATGTTATCCGTGTTACACGTGCTTGACGGTACAGAGGCAGAGCAGCCATTCAGAGTAGCTAAGAAGTGACATGAGGAATCTGGAACCTTGACCTGGTTAAGATCAGATACGGAGGTACAGTATGCTTGTTTTGTTGACGTATGTTTGTAGAGCACACCCCACTAGCTGTTGAATGGAGATAAAATAATGACTTCTTTGAAAGAAACCGTGCATCCCTGCCTCCCAAAGGGATGGTGTTTTGGGAAGAAATATTTGCAGGTTTATTAAAATACACATTACTTATTTTTTTAATATTAGAATTACAGTTGAGGTTTCTGAACTTTATTACTGGAGGCAGGGCCGGCTCCAGGCACCAGCCTACCAAGCATGTGCTTGGGGCAGCACCTGGAGGGGGGCGGTGCTCACCCGGGGAGAGCAGAGCCGCAGCGGGCTCGCCGCCCTCCCCCCCCCCCGGCGCTCCAGCCGGTCGGGGAGAGCGGGGCTGCGGCCGGGCTCGGCGCCCTCCCCGCCGGGGGGTGGTGGGAGGCTATTTTGCCTGGGGCAGCAAAAAAGCCAGAGCCGACTCTGACTGGAGGTATGTACTTCACTAAAAACTTTACCATATGAGATTCCAACACTACTGAAGACCAGTTTAAGAAACTGTAAAGACTGTCCTTCCTGCTTTAAATACTGATATAATTACAGGCTTGTGATTTTGTTTCCACAGCTCTAGAAAAAAAACTTAAGGTTTTATGAAATGAAGCACAAAGCACATACTGTGTGATTCACTTCATAAGCATATGTATTCTTCAGACATCAAAATCACACATTCTGTCCAAAATGAAAGGCTTGCTATTCTGTAAGTAACACACACACCCATTAGCTTGTGTTAGCTTGTTAATCATCCCCCTACTTCGTATCTACCCTTAGATATTAATCACTTTTACCAATTTACTTACTTAATTTGTCCTATAACAGTTTCAAGCAAACAAATCCAAACATGCTAAAAACTTGATCAATTGATGAGCTGGCTAAACAGGATTGTAGATCTTCTTAAAATTGACTAAATTTTGAATTCAGTTGTTATCTCTCTTAAGTTTACATCTATAGTTTTCCATTGACTGGTGCAATGAACAGTAATACAGTCTCATTTCCAAACAGATTTTAGGTGGAAACCTGGAGCTTCAATTTTAAATGCTAGAAGAGGAGGAATGAACACAGGATTACATTCCATCTCCCACATTTCAGTCTACTCTTCCTGTTCTGGGTTCAACATATGACCTTTTTATATGGGGTCAGCCATGCTGGCCAAGTATTGGAAAGATTCTAAAAGGATCTTGACACTGTCAACTTGACAAATCATACTACTGTTTGGAAACTTTTTACCTATCTTGTTCCAGGTAACACCTAATATCCTGTAACTAAAAAGTCCATTCTGCCTGTTGAGGGAGAAACAGTGAAACAGGCTGTGCAGAAGTGCTGTTAAGGAAGTAAAGAAACTGGAAAAAAATTTCCTCAAATCAGTTGCAGTACTGTTAAAGGGAAGTGTAGCTAAGTTGGTAGTGTCCGTTAAAAATGAAATAGTGATCTATCAAAACACCTAACATTTAAATTCAGTATCTTATATTTATGAGCGATGATTATATCGGAACTTTTGCAGACTCTTTTGTGGGTTCTCAAAGTGGACTTAAAATGAATTCACTGAGTTTCTGCATGGGATATGGGGAGTCTGTGCTAGTGGATCACAGTGCAAGATTGTGGCCTCAGTTATATTTTCCCTTGTTGTTTCTGCTGGCCTTTCATACAACAGGGGAAAATAAAACATTCAAAAATAGGAAAATGTGTATGTGAACCCACAGAAATTGTCTGGAGAACTCCAGATAGGTACAGAAATAGAAATTACTCTTAGGGTGGGATTTGCAAGCAGGACTTTGGTGCCCTTCAGCCTATTGAAATTCAAAATCCTGAGGTAAGTGCCCAGGCTCTCTGTACAATGTGTGGGGAGAGCAAGATGCCATAAAAAGGGATTTACAAAAGCCAGTGTGCTGAGTGGAGAGCTGCCTAAACTAGCCAGTGGGAATTGCTGAGGAGAAGGGGTCTGGCCTAAGCCCTGCCCCTTCCAGGGAGTTAAGTGCCTATCTCTGGGCCAGAGGAAAGCATCTTCTTCTGCTTGGGATTCACAGCCGTGAACCCTCTCCTGGAGTTAAGTGCCAAAGCCAGGTTAGTGTTTTGTCTTCAAAAATATTTGTGGTGGGGCCCCCTTATAGCCTTTAGACTAGTGGTTAGGCCCTCAGCCAAGCCATCAGAAACTTCCATTCTGCCTGATCTGTAGCAGGGACTTGATCTTGAATCTCTCACCTCCCAGGTGAGTCTCCTAATCACTTTTGAATCCCATCCTTAACTCCTTTTTTGAAACTGACTAGATTTCAAGTTGACATTGTCTCTTTAAATGTGACATTCCATTTTCGTGATGAACCAGGATGGGTAATGTTAGCTCTGCCTCCCATGCTACCAGTATCACAAAGACCACTTAACAGCAAAGTGGATGTCTCCCTAAGAAATTCCTCAAATTCCAGTGGGAAATATATTAACATACTAATATTTAAAACATTTTAATTTCTCAGTGCAATAAAAGCTTTTTACGCTAGATGTTGTTAAACAGCCAAGATGAGAAAAATAGGTAATTTTCTTTTTAATCAGACAACATGAACCCTTTGAGTCCGTCCCCACCCATATATTAAACATCATCCTGTTGCACCTACCAGACTATTTCAATATGAGTCTTTGCTTTCTGACAAATCAGAGAAACAGAAAAACCTGCTCAGTATCTCAGGTATATCAGCTCTATATGGTTCTATTGTTCACTTTTATAATAGGAACAGTAAAACTGTGAAGAAAATAAGAGGTTAATAAAAAAAACCCCATATCATACAGTTGGTGCCTAGAAGGAAGGGTACAAAGAATGTTAAAAGCTTTACTTTATTATAGGTACTTAAAAGCTAGATTATGCAGGCAAGGTTGGAGGGAGGAATCCGTATCTGTACTACAAACCTGTTTCATTTTCTTTAACTCCTGTGCTACTCAGGAGGCTATTGAGGGCAACGTTTCTGCTAAGGACTGTAGGTTTTTAATAAAGTATACGCTGTATACATTCATTTTCAATTACCATGTTTATGCAATGTGAAGGCATACAGAACTCCACATTATCATAACCACTTCTAATTCTTCTGCATGTGCTATACATATTATCCTGTTCATTTACATTTTTTGAAATACATAATAAAGCACTTATTTGGTTCCAGGATTACAGCTCTGCTTTATTCAATCTGCAGTGTTCTGGATAAAAATATCCTCCTATTATGTGCTGTTGTATGGTAGATTACTGCTGCACTGAAGCTTTTATTCAGAAGAAATGTGCTATACAAGGGTGTTAGAAATAGTCTGCAATAAAGGAAGCATTGTGGTAGAGGCGAACTGGCATTAGAGGCTAAGTTGTGAAAAAGGCATCTTGTTTGGAAATCAAATTTAATGAAAAAGCACTCTCAATCACTAGTAATATAACTGCTTTAAATTTTCAGACAGTGGGAGTAGCTCACCGTTGCCCAAGTATGCCTCATCTCCCAAACCAAACAACAGCTACATGTTCAAACGAGAGCCCCCAGAGGGATGTGAGCGAGTGAAGGTCTTTGAGGAAATGTCGTAAGTAATGCCTTTTATATCAGCTGGTATCTGCAAAGCAGTAAACCTTTTTACTGAACCTATTCAATTGCAGATGAATAAACTACTCCAGCTGATGAGTTTTGCAGGAGCAAGCTGTTCTTAGAGAGTTTGAACAGGCAAAAAAGTTGAAGTGTTTATGTTGGCTTGAAGGGGAATGGAGTATTTTATGCTTGAACTTTTTAATGTGTTTATAAAAGACAAACAAGAAAAGAGACACGCAGAAAACATGGAATACTTAGTTTTAAAATAGTATGTCCAGCATTTATAAATCCCTTTTCTTTATAATCCTATCAGTTTGTGTTCATTTTATAAAATGTTCCTAGCTTAAAGGAAAATGCTGGGACCAGGCAGTTTTTGTCAGTCAGTATTGAGCTATATTTTGACATGTGTAAAACATATATATACAAAATGAAAGGGAATGTGTATAAAGTAGATACAGACTTAGCAAATTTACACTAGAGCGTTTGTCTAGTAGTTTTGGGGTCCCACTGTGCGCTATTGTGCAAGAGACCAGAATTTAAACTCTTGGCCTTCACCTCTTTTTCCCTAGAGCAGCAGTACTGTGGCTATGCTGTAGGTTGCATACACATAGCTCCTGTGGATGGAAGGAGCCAGTAGGGCATGTTCTGCTCCAGAGCAGTCCCTGCTGGCTAAGGAGCAGTGTTGTTGGGTTCTGGAGGAAGACTCGAAACCAATATCTGGATTTGAGGAAAGGAGAATTTTATCTTATGGAGTTTCTCAAAAAAGGGATTTAATACTCCTAAATATATGCCGCTGTTTCAATATTTTTGTCAAACTAAAATTTCTAAGTTCATCATCATGATACTTTTCCATGTGCATACGTACTGTAGATTTGATTGCTGAAAGCTGCATGTTGTCCAATGGTATCCAGTCACTTTTGTTATAAATACTATTTTAATGCTGTGGATCAAACAGTTAACTGACTACCAATATGGAAGATGTTTGCCCCTTTCTGTCCAATTAACCCCATTCCTTGTCATTCACATATTAGCAATTTGTAGAACTACAAAACCTGTTCACATAGTAAACTTTTTCAGTTTGTCAGGTATATAATAATTTGTCTCGTTGTAGGTCTCGTCAGCCTGTCTCAGCCCCGCTCTTTTCATGCCCTGACAAAAACAAGGTTAATTTCATCCCAACCGGATCAGCTTTCTGTCCTGTAAAACTTCTGGGTCCCCTACTACCTGCTTCTGACCTGACTCTCAAGAACTCTCCAAACTCTGGTCAAAGCACAGCTTTGAGCACTCTGACTGTTGAGCAGCTTTCATCTCGGGTCTCCTTCTCATCTCTGTCAGATGACACCAGCACAATGGACTCTACAGAGGTCTCAGTACAACAGCCATCCCAACAGCAGCAGCCGCTTTTGCAGGAACTTCAGACTGAAGAACTCTCCTCTCCTCAGAGCTATGTGATAATCTAGACCAAGGTGGAGCAGGCCTCTGCCCTGAAACAAGGACTGGGGAGTCTATACTAATACATCTGCATGGAGTGGCAACCTTTTCAGAACAAAACAAAATACTTATCAGCATCTTAAAAATATCTCAACACTGTTCTTGGCAGGGACAGAACTCGTATTCAGCATTTTTTTGTGAAAAAGCAGTAATGCTTGCAAAAACCGTGTATCATTAAGCATTTAAGTGGAGACTATGCATTTCATAGTATGACCAGATTAGTACCGTGTCTTGTGTTCTGTTTCAAATTCTACAGTATAAATAAGCTCTGTATCAAAAAAGTTGCCTGTCTGAATAGAAAATGTCTTGCTGTGTTGTGTCCTATGGAAAATACTGTACTTCAGGATTATGTTTACAATTGATCCAGGTGTTTATGTTTCTAACTTCTGTAATACATACAATGCAAAAAAAAATAAAAAATGGCCACAACAGTTGCACAGTGCCCGCCCTATGGCCTAGCTTCAGGTACTTCTCTCGAAGTCTAAACTCAGGTAACTTGGAATGTATATCATATTGGGATATAAAATATTTTACAGCTAAAAAGCTAAAGAGGGAACATCACTCTTTTGCCTTTCCTTATTTTATGCATTAATATTTCCTCATTACATTCCACTTTCTTGGAATAAGTGCATTCAAATCCAGGAGAATGATGACCCTGGACATGGGTGAACATGAGGAGAACCAGCAAATCGGTGATGTACAACATCACTTTGTCATGTGGTTACAAGTAAAACAACTGTTGCATTTACTGTCATTTCAATATATGTAAAATGTGGCATTTAAAGGTTTCAGGTGTTGCTCCGTTCATGACTGTTAAGCTGTTGCAAATAAAGTGTTCAGTACTAGGCTGTACATAGAAAACATTCCATGTTTTGTGTGAAAGGATTTTAAAAGACGAGAATGTTTTTGTTTAATTTCAGAAAATTCATTGAGGTTTCACAGGGGTTGGTGGGGATTTCCTCTCATGTTTATGTTGGCAGTTAAGGATGTTAAGGCAGTTAAGCTACTGTTACCATCTAAGAGTTGAATTAATGTTTAGTTTCTCTTCTGGAAATGTTCATTCATTTGCTGGTTGGAAATTAGGTTTCTCGGATTTTATCAAGCAACATGAGCAGCATTCTATTTGCATAGTGAATAATTCTACTTTTGGACTAAAATCCAAAAGGAGCGACTGGATGTTTTAAAGGAGGAGAGAAGCAATAGTTTGCCTAACCAGAGCTTCTCATAGTACCCTCATTTACTTAAATTACTACTGTATAAATCTTTTGCAGTTAAAATGTGGGTAAGAAACCCTAGTAAAATAGTTTTGGGCTTGCAGGCTGGTCACTTTCTCAAAAATAGTACATAGCAAGAACTGTTTCCTAATATTCTTACTGTGCTGGAACTGCAAAAGCATTGCTTTCAAAGATAATTTCCTGTGATACAAAGAGGAGCCCAAAGGCAGAATAAACTTGATGTTCTTGCTCCATTGGTTTCAGCTCAGTGGAATTAGGTTTATGTTGTCTGCTCCGAAGAGAATGTGGTTTACCTTTTCCCAGGAATTGAAGAGATTAGCCACCTGCAGCTACTGCAGCATTTAAATTCATGCCATTGCTTTTTTTTCTTTTGAAGAGGAATTGTGGGAAAAGACTAAGATAGCACCGCCAATAACTACTGGCAAAATTGGGAAAAAATATCCTGCCATTGTGTATTCTTTTGAAATAAAGAAGCCCAGTTCCCTTCCTGTTTCTGAACGTTTTGTTAGTATTCTGTTACAAGGTGTAAACCTGCAGTTTGTAAAACAGTCAGTGCTCTGACTCTAGGGTGGAGCTGCAAAGAGAGTGTAAGAGGGGAGGTCTGTTTTTATTTTTACCATTTTCGCATGAAGAACCTTTTTGAAGCCCTCACACAGCAACAGCCATCTTGAACCCTACTAATCTCAGGCCTTGGTGAAAACACTATATATTTTGTAGATTGAAGTTAAAGGGAAAAAATTAACCTGTTCTGTGATGTAAGTGCAAATTTGTTCTAATGTTTTACATTCTAGATTAACATTGCAATATGGTGACCTTTCTATGCTCTGGTAGTGTCCAAATATGAATCTGTAGTTTCAGTTGTTGGTGTTAGGATTCCAGAAAGATTAAAAAAAAAAAGTGATTTTTAGATCCAGGATGAACTCTGATGTACTATATTTACAGTGACATTACATGCTCAGTTAATTTTCCATGAGAAACTAAATATTAATTGTGTTGCACATTTGTTCTTAGCGTATTTGAAGGTTTTGAACCAAATGTGTTAAAGTTAATGCTTTGCCATGTAAATTTCCCAGCAGTTGTTGATCTCAAATGTATCGTACATCCCGCCGTAGAAATTTGTCAAATATTGTTTAAAGTTTTGTACATAGCTGTACTGTTATTTCTAGCCACTGTGCTGAACAGTATTCGAGTTATCACACAATATTGCTTTGCACAAGGAAATGTGTGGCTTTTGTTTTGTATTTTTTCAGTATAGAAGTTCCTGTGTCTTATTTAAATAAAGTTATTAGTAAAAATTTAAGGACACAATAGTAGTGGTTCATGTATTTGGCTTGGAAATGATATGTGAAACACTAAAGAATTAAGTTATTTAGTATTATTCCAAGTATTTCTATAACAACAACGATCCATACTAAGTGAGTATCTCTACCACTGGTGTTTCAACCTGTTATGGTTCTAGTTGACATGGAAATAATCTCATACATACTGGTTTTGCTCAACATTTGCTCCAGGGGATACAAAGCAACTAAAAATACTAATTAATTTCTGCAAATTGTAATGAAATATTTAAAAAAAAAACATTAGAAACATCCTGCTTATCCACTGCCAAGTTTACAATATGCATAATGTTCAGACGTATCTATTCATATTTATGAAAGCGATTTAGATGTTTCATAGGAGGCTAAACTAAAAGAGCCTTTAAGAAAGGATGTGCTATAAACCTACTGATATAAAGCCACCAGCAACTAGATAATCTTGGTTTCATGCCATTTTGTTGGAGTCAAATAGTTGTTTTTTGATTTGAAAAACAACTTTCCATATACCAAAAATTGAGTATGTAAGCACAAATCCTCAAATGTTCACTATTCACTAAACTGCCATAGAAATAAGAAAATTTCAAATCATCTTGAGAAATTAACTGCAGAGCTAAATGAATGTTTAGTTAAAAATACTTCCTCATTGTGGTAAATTAGATTTTTCAACTTGAAAATTTTTGAAATCCTCAACTATGTTCCTAGTATGTTAATTGAAATTCATAATGGCTGAAGGGATAGAAATACAAAAAAAAAAAATACCCATGCTACTATAGAAGATGTATATCGTCAAGAGCTTCAGTACTGCATTTGGATCAGACACATCTGTTTCAATGGCAGTTGCTTAAGAGCAGATCTGTACTGCCAAAAAGCCTCTGCTGCAGGACTCTGGAACCCCCAAATTAGACTTTCTCTAGGTAATGTAGCTTCCTGACTCCTTTCTGTTTGCTGATAGTCCCTGTTGCAAATCAGGCAGAGTGCAGATTCAAACCTAGTTGTGCCCAAACAATCTGGCTCTTGGCTGTTGTAACTCAGTGGAATGCACAGCCCCCAGCTGTATGCTTAGGCCGATTTCACAAAGTAGAGGGAGATTTAGCTACCTAAAAAAGGCATCCACACAAGCCACCACGCTGAGTGAGTAGCCACCTAAGATAGCCATGAGGAAATGCTGGGGAGAGGAGCCTAAGCCATTTTTTGAGGGGGGAGGGGACAAAAAAAACCCTGGGTGAATAGAGAGGGGGCCCTGCGAGGAGGAGGACTTTGAGTAGTTCCAGTTGTGTATTCCACTCAGCTGTGTCTGCACCCAATGACTGAAACAGGAGAACTTTGTTTTAGCAGTACTGTAGGAGCAGCACTTGTGCCATGTGGCTCTAGTCCCTCCCCTGGCTATTTAGGGGCAGTGCTGCCTCAACCCTCTTCAGTTCCTTCTCACTGTCCATGGCTAGTGTTGGAGTGTTGTGTGTGGTAGAATAGCATAAGGTAAACCATCACAGTCTGACTGGGATTTTGTTGTATATAGTTTAGATAGGTATCCTGGGTGATGACATCACCAGAGTTTAAAAACTGTCCATCATATTGGGGGGTGGCTGTCCCCCGTAGTGACCCCACATGCTCTGTTTGTTGTGCAAGGGAGAAGGGCACATTAAAGAATGGTCTCCATCTGCAAATTGTTCAAGAGGAAAATGCAGGGGAAGGTTGAACTTAGGTGCCTAAATCCTGTTATAGAGCTAGCCCAGAATTCCTATGGGATATGAGGCTTTAAACCAAAATTTTCACAGATTGTCACTGCAGGAGAGGTTTCACAGCTGAGTGGCCTAAGCAGGTGGGAGAGCTGGGTTCAAGTTTCTATTCCAAATCCGTGGGGATGCAAGCCTGAAACTCATATAGCCTTCCTTACCGACCCAACCATACATGTGCTCCAAATTCATCTCGAGGCTTGGGCCCCAGTGGAGAGAGGGGCTGGGGAAACACCATTTTGGGGAGAGGGGGTCTCTGGCTTGTACATGGGCACTGAGCAGCTTATTAACTGAAGGATGGCATCAGGACTTATTTAAGCTGGCGTTGGGTATGTCTACAGGCAGGCAGACACCTAGACATGTACAGGGTTAGATCAGATGGCAGCTGAGCAGTGGGTTTGAGAAGGTCAGTGGTACCAAAATGTTAGATTGACTTAGGCACCCAAGTACCTTTGTGGCTGTAGCCTTCATAGTATAGCTGTAGAGGAAAAATAAACACCTCAAAAACTTGATGTGAGGGTACTGTGAGCAGCACCCTCCTTGAGACTGCAGAGAGCATGAACGAGTACTGCGGAGCTGTGACATGCCCCAGTGGTGTTAGAGTAGTAACTTAGCTACCAATAATAATGCTTTAAGTGTAAACAATAACAATTTAATTGCTCATCATCAATCCATGTAAGGTGAGCGGAGGACCATATTATGATCTGCACAATTGAGTCCAAGTGACAGCTCATTGTGGTGCCATAACTGTTTGGGTAAGAAAGTAGCACTACATTTTCTTTCTCCACGCAGGAAAGCACCAGGTTCGGGGGCCCATTTGTATATTTGTACCCCCCAACAGGGGGAGCCAAACCCAAGGAGTCCAACAGTATGTATGTACCACTGAGTGTAGTTTGACTTCAGTTGCATGGGGCTTGTAATAGAAACACTAACCGTTTGTTTCCTAATTTGGCCCCTCTCCCTCGCAGGGATACTTGGGGAGAGAGGAGTGGGCGAGGCTCAGATTTTTAACGGAAGTTAGGCGTTGTCAAAATACCTTTAAAAATCGGGGCCCAAGTATTTTAACCAGGAGATAAGATATGCTGTATTCCCAAATAAATATCAATGACACACGTAGAATGCCCCAAGTTATCAGTAGTGTTCATGATAGAAGAGTTTGATCAAGATTTGTACTCCAGGATGCCCTATCTGATAGCTAGCTCTAATTTTCATATATTTTGTTGGTGTATTGCAAGGATCGGCAACCTTTGGCACGTGGCTCATCAAGGAAATCCACTGGCGGGCCGGGACGGTTTGTTTACCTGCAGTGTCCATAGGTTCAGCCGATCGCAGCTCCCACTGGCTGCGGTTCGCCATTCGAGGCCAATGGGGGCTGCGGTAAGCGGCGGCCAGCGCGTCCCTTGTCCCGTGCCGTTTCCCAGGGAGCTGCGATAGGCCGAACCTGTGGACAATGCAGGTAAACAAACCATCCTGGCCACCAGTGGCTTTTCCTGATGAGCCGCGTGCCGAAGGTTGCCGATCCCTGGTGTGTTGTCAAGCCGCATCAGCACCCTGGCATTTCACCAAAAGTAAATAGTCTTGAAAGTTGGTTGCTCAGATTCAGCCTCCCTACGTTTTTTATTAAAAAGCCATTTGCCAATCAATGAGAATGACGTTGGGAAGGCAGGGGGCCTATAGTCTACAGCAAACAAGGCTGGTTTTCAGTGGAGCCTGAACCTGGCCTTCACTTGTACACACACAATTTGGGCCACGCGCATTAAGAGCTCTGCAAGCAGTTGAAAGAGTCCAATATCTGCATACAGAGACCATAGGATATTTGGCCTGGAGCTGTAAATGCTGTTGGGCACCTAGGAAATCATAGGAACACCACTGCAATCTGCTAAGCTTGAGTTCAGTACCTAGGCTCCTGTACACATGGGGAGAGCTGGGAGCCTGAGCAGCCACAAAAGCTGGCATCCTAGGCAACTCCCTGCCTAAACCAGCCAACTGGAGATGCCGATGAGATGTGTGTATCTCAAGCCCATCTCTCCCCTCAAGATCGGCACCTAAAGCTGGGCTGCAGGGAGATGCCTCTCTCTGCTAGCCAGCCACACATGGGAACCCCTCTCCCAGAATCGGTTTGCTTAGGCATCCAAGGCAGTTCTTGTGCGAATGAGTGAGGCAGGGACCTAACACCCACAAAATAGGAGGCGGTGGTAGCAGCATTATAACTTTTAGCCCGAGTGTGTGCAACCCAGCTTCAAGTCCCCCATTGCCCTGGGGGGAGGATTTGAACAGGCCTGTGTGCTAACCACTGAGTTGCTAAATTGGCGTGTGGGGAGGTCAGAGAATGATTGAAAATACCCACCTTATAGTGATCGACTCAAGCAGCACAATCTGTTTAGCTTAACAAAGTGAAGGTTAAGGGGTGACTTGATCACAGTCTGTAAGTTCCTACATGAGGAACCAATATTTAACAGCAGCTCTTCAATCTGGCAGAGAACGGCTGGGAACTGAAACTAGACAAATGCTGTGTAGAAATAAGGTGTAAGAGTGAGCATAATTAACCATTAGAACTTACCAATGAGTGTGGTGTATGCTCAATCGAGAATGGATTTTTTTTTCTAAAAGATATGTGCTGGGAATTGTTTTGGGAAATTCAATGGCTTGTGTCATACAGGAGGTTAAGTGTGATACAGAGGCCCACTGGTGCCAACCAACAGAGGGTTCACTGTTCTTTACAAGCAACTACTGTCTCAGCCCTGACAACTCACTTCACCTACTACAAAACTTTCATAGTATTTAGCTATGAAGGGTAGCACGGGAGGTCGCTGCTGAAAGCTGCTAATTTATCAGTCCTCATCATTGTGAGATGTGTGTATGAGGGCTAGGTAATGTAACTATATAGAAAATTATGCCCTCTGGGGATCATGTCTCAGAGATGGCCCACTCAAGCAGGAGCGAGTTGTCACCCCTGCCTCGCCTTTCATGTAATGTATTGCTCGATTGTCCACCTTTGCACCAACCCAGAACAGGCAATGGAAAGCCATCAAAGTCAAACTCTTACATATTGAAACTGCTTGGACATGAAAAGGAACAATATGCCAGCGAGGGGCATGCCCTGTCTGTGACTAAAGACAAAAAACCTGATTCAGTATGTTACAGGGTGGAGCAAGGCACTCTGAATCCATTCACTGTGGTGGTACCTTGAGGAGAGGGGGCTTCGTGAAATAGTGGGTCCCAACTCCCTTAGGCTAGAAAACACTGCAAAA